GTATAATCCACTGTGCATTTGAGTATCAAATTAGAAACAAAAAAGATTCCTTCGGAACAAGTTGAACAGCAGCAAGATTCGTCTTTTTTACGTGTAATTTAAATTGCGGTGAAACTGCCGATGCTAAAAATAATTTTGTATTATGTGTTATTTTAGGTAGTACAAAACCACATTGTTGAAATTTTAGTTGGTTTAACATGTCCTTGATCCTATTTGGTTTTTGATACTAAAATTTAAAAGGTAATTTGATTTCATAATCTTTTTTTAAATTTTTTTTTAATATTCAGTAATGGCAGTAATTTTGTCGATTAAATATGCATATTGTACTTTACAATGATTGTCACTAAACTGTTTATAATATATCCGGTGGTTTTTTTGTAACATTATCTTTATTTCCTAATTGTGATTTAGAATCCAATTAGGAAGTTTGTGTTGCGGAAATTGAACATAAATAGGAAGTTTTTATATGTCTATGGCGGTGCAAATCTGCATAACTTAAGCACCGGTTTGTGGTTATGACAAATTTTGTTTTGATACAATGTGTTTTGGTATATTGGTCTTTCCCGTTTTATTTTCGGATCAAACAAATCCTTATAATAAGAATAGGTACTTACAGAGAATTTGTTTTATACATGTTGTTATGCAGTGGAAATCGAACTTGTAACACATTTAATTACTTGTAACAGTATAGTTAATTGTCGACCTTTGCTTATCAACACACCATATTGATTTCCTGACGAGAACAGTAACTACTTATTACTATAAAGCGAATAATCGATGTCTAAAGAAATGAAAATATTAATTTTAAAACACTGAACATAATTATAGTCGTGGTTTCCCGCAATTTTTACTAAAATTATAAACTACTGCAGTTTAGGTCTTTGTTGGACATAATCTATGTAAAATACACAATTTATTATTCTAAAATGACAGATACACAGATTCTTTAGGTTTCTAGTATTCCTATAAGCTTGAGATGCTGGTCCTAGCAATCGATCAACTGTCCTACGTCATGTAAGACTAGAGACGTCATTGCACAATAGTTGAAACTAGGTTATTAAAAAACAAAGCCATGTTTATTTATACTGATATTGATCTTAAAGCTTTGTTTTTATAATAATAGATAATGGAACAATTAAATGTGCTGCTTAACTTATTGATAGTACTGAAGGCAAATTAGTTTGATTCGTTTTTGTCAAATCTATACTTATTTATACTAATATTATAAAATGGAAAGATTTGTATTTTTTTATGTATTGAAATAATTTAAAAACTACTGGACCAATTTCAAAAATTATTTTAAAATTAAAAAGCTACGTTACCATTGATTCCACGTGGACGAAGTCACGAGCAACAACTAGTAAAGTATAATCGTACTCATTATATTAGGAATGAGAGTAAAGTAACTCGAATATGTGTACAGGATTGCAAAGTTCCCTGAGGAATCAGTTACTATATAAAATTCAGCAATACGTAATAGTTGCTGTTAGCAGTTACCTAAGCGGTATTGCCGATGCCTCGCTTCTTTGTATGGAATCTGTGATGTAATTAATGAGAATTATTATGAAGTCAGTAGATGCACGGACTGACCAAAACAGTTAACAAGTTACAGCAGCTGGTGGTAAAACGTAAGAGATAAAAGGCCTGTCCCACAATTGGCTGATAGAGGCTCAGATAGTATAAAATTGACGTCACTTTCGGATAAGGGAACAAAATCCGATATTTCTATCACATATTTTACACGTTGGATTGTAAAATAAATAAATAAATTGTAAATTGTCTGATAAAAATCAGACAATTTACAATTTGGTGGGACAGGCCCTAAATACTTGAATAACGCGTTACTTAGTGAAAGTTGCCAATCTATACTAAATATAATATAATATAATATAGGTAACATTTGTATTTTTTGTATGTAATGAAATAACCAAAAAACCACTGGGCCGATTTAAAAAATTCTTACACTATTATAAACCTATATTATCAGATACATAGGCTATGTTTTTATTATTTCTAAAATTCACGTCAACGAAGTCGTTAAATATAATTTTGACTCACTTCCCCGTCTACTTCAGCTGTGTTCGACATCAATTCCTCGTCATCGCGTATTCCTTTGAATAATTTGTTATCGTCACTATGACCACAGTCTCGGACGTCACGTCTGTAAAAAGTACGTGACGGTTAACACCGCAGGGGGTTCCAGGAAAATTGGAATAGTAACTTGCATTCCAGTATATTTCAAGCTTCACATCTTTCCCTCCCTCAATTTCTATAACCTGAGCTCTTAAAAACATATTTGTCTTGCTTGCTACTCATACCAGTTATAAATGCCTATAGTCGACGATATGTACCAGTAGGTTGCCAACAAGTATGTCCTAACTTTGTCTTGTCCTCTCAATGACTTGGTTTGTGGCTAGAGGTGAACCATCTCCGTTCCTCCAGGAAAATAGAAAAGGAAAAATAATACATAGGTTATTATGTATTCCGTTCATATATGAATGTGTACTTAAAATGTATGGTCCATATTGCGGAAGTTTAAAACCAGGATAAGGGACTGACTCTTGTGTTGCGTCGACTGATGTATGGCATGAAAACATAGAGAAAAACTTTAAACAATAATTGAAAAATAAAATAAACCTTTTTGAAGAAAATTGTTTCCATTATCTTGCAATTTTGTCGTAAATTTTCAAGGATAGTATTTACATAACGTGCGTAATAAGTTTTTATAGCCATAATAAAGTCGAACATTAGCCAATGATAATTGCTGGACTTATCTTTGGTTAAGACTTACTTACCCGTTTGATATTACAGTCGTATTTGAATGAGCAACGTATTTTAAGGTCATTTTTCATAACGATTATAAATTATCCAATCGAACAACGCGTGATTGTAGCCCATCAAGGTGTCGATATTCCGTGGTCGTTGCGGCGATGTTAAAGTTGGGTCTAATGAGCGATAACCTTAATACAGCACTAAGTTTTGGGATTTGAGCACTAAATTCGAGGATTTTCCAGAAACGTAGGGCAACATATTTTGTGAGTATAGCGTAGTATACGTTTATACTGCCGTGAAGTGGGAGCAATTTCGCGTTTCGTTTGATGAGTATAGTTCCGGAGGCCACACTTTAGTCCTTTTTTTCCAAACACTTTTTGTTATAAGAAAGGGAACACGGATTTGACGGTGAAGGGGTAACATCATCTACTCCATCGATTAAGGGTAGGCAACTCATCCGCTATTACGAATGTCTTTGGGCAGTGGTCGCTTCCCAGTTTGGCGGATTACGTTACAATATAAAAAAAAACTTCTATACTAATATTATTAACATGACAGATTTTTATTTTTGATGATGTCTGTAACGAAATAATTAAAAAATTACTGGACTGATTTCGAAAATATTTGTACCATTAAAAGCGATGTTTTCGAGTAACAAAGGCTGTGATTTTACTATTATTTTAATTTCACGCAGGCGAAGTCGCGAGCAACATGCTAGTAGGTTATATTTTCGGAAAAGTAGGATTAGATAAGGCGATATTTACCGCAGGTGTATTATCAATTGTCCGGAGCACAGCTGGCTGATAACACTTATTTGGTAGACATTAGTGGATGAGTCATATTAAAACTAATAATGAAAACAAATTGATACCCAGTACTGAAAAACATTGAATGATAGGTTTTTCAACAAATTGTATTCCTTGAAACGTTCACTATAACTGTGGGTTTATACTGCTTGTCTATAATATTGGTATCACAATTTTTTTCAATGAGAAAGTGACAAATGACAATTTTTTTGTATCATTGATTCGCGCAATAGAAATACATAGGGTAATATTTTTCTTTCTTTCACTAGCTTTTTAATGCCTAACGCAATTAATACGTTTTTGTATTTCGCCAACTATTTATAGTTTTAATTGATGATGGATTTTTATATGGTTTTAAATTATAAACCTTGATAAAGATGCTCGGATAACTGCAGCTTTTTATGTACAAGATAAGGAAATCTCGATGGAATTGTACTGAGAAAATGTTCAAAGACCTTGCATACAATCAGACTTTGGCTGTATCAAATAATATTTTCAGACAAATAGTAATTATAAATTACAATTCAAACTAATTTTCGGTTTTAATCTAAAAGTCCTGCAATATTTAGTTGTAATAAAGGTATAGTTTATTTACCTCCTTGTTGATGTAACCGAAATGTATATCTAACTCCTGTAGGTCCTGTCCTGATAGATAGACCCATATTTAACTTAAAAACAACTTAATTGTCCCATGTTCGTGTACACTTTGTTTTCTTTTTATCTCCGTTCAATGTAACATTAGAGTAAATGTATGCGAAATGAGAGAGTGAGTCATTCGTATCTGGAGTGTTATCGCTGTGAATAAGAGATCAAAGACGCGTTATTACGTAGGTCGAATCTCGAACGAGCTGTGTCTAGGGCTGCCAAATTTAAAAACGTCACAAAATTAACGGCGAAACGACGTTATCTTAATCTTTGACTCGTTTAAAGCGACCAGTGCCAAAGACGATGTCCAGTTAGTTTTCACATCCTAACTCGAAAGTCTTAGAATGCGTACCAAGAATTAATTAGGAAACGGAACGGAAATTTTTCTCATCAAACTCAAAGGTAGCAGCCCTAGCCGTCTCACAGGAGCGGTCATTCAGTTATCTTTACTCTCGTTGATGCATAGCAATAATATATTCCAGAATAAACAATCATTATTTGTATTGATATGATGAAAAGGCAACTCTGATTTTTACTGGAGAACTGTGTTAGTTTTAAAAAGTTGCGTTATTTAAAAAGTGGTAGTTAATTTCGAAAAGTAATTGCCCGGTTTAAATAACTTGATTACACTCTGTGTCTCGAAGACTTTGGGCTTCAAAATCCATTAAACTACCTGCGAAAAAGAGAAATAAATACATGTAAATAATACTGTATCTAAGAAGCCATTTAACACAGTTTCTACCATTAAAAACATTACAATTATTTCTTTTATTCTAGCCAATCATCCAGATGTACTGTCCGTCGATCGCGGCTGGCGGCGTATCGTGCTGTAACATCGAACAGTTAAAAAATTTCGAGAGCAAGATCGTGCAGGCAGAGAACATTCTGTCGCGCTGTCCCGCCTGCTATAAAAACTTCCTACAGCACATCTGCGGCATGACTTGTGATCCTGAACAGAGCAAATTCATCAAACCAGTCAAGAGGTCGTTTAACAAAGGTAATTACATCGAAAACGACTTTGTCTAAAGCCTTGGTTAAATTTCTAAGCTTTTTAAGTATCAAGTAGGCTTTTGATATACATAGCAAGTCAAAGGTTAAAGAACTGCTCCTCGTTATTATAACCTTAGCTAATCCAATTGAAATATAATACATTTTCTGTTTATTGATTTCAGATAAAAAGGAACAGATCGAAGAGATTGACTATCATCTCGGTGCCACCTATATGAATTCTACATTTGACTCATGTCTGCAGGTAATGATACCATTACATATTAATACTTTACTTCTAATATCTGCTTTTGTACAGAAACCTTACCTTTTAGTAGCATTATAAATGCGAAAGTTTAGATGGATGGATGTTTGTTGTGTTTGTAGCCTAAACTCCTGGACGAATTTTGATGCTAGTCTCCAAGAATACATAGGCTACTTACTTTTAAAATGATAAGATGACGGATTGAATACAGCAATTACATGTTCTTTTTATTTCCAGGTCCAAATGCCATCGAGCAACCAACGAGCGTTGGATTTGATGTGCGGGAAGTGGGGCGCGTCGTACTGCACGCCGCAGCGGTGGTTCGACTCCATGGGAGATTCGTCATCACCCTTCGTGCCCTTCCAGATCAATTATATCTCGGGAGACATGCCTGATGACCAGGTCGTACCCTACCAGCCGCCTACGACGTCCTGCAGTGCCAGTATCAATGTAAGATTCATTTATACATTTATTAAATAACTTGAAAGGACCCTGTGCACGATTTAGATAATGTTAATGGAACTTGAACATTAGTTTAAAATTTCTTTGATTTGCGATATCGATATAGCTATAAATATCATTCATCTGTAGTTACAAAGAGTAGTATACGCCTACTGATAACTTAGCTTTTTAATGGCGCAAGAATTTTGAAATCGGCGAGTAGTTTTTGAGTTCTTTCAATACATACAAAAATGTAAATATTTCCTCATTATAATATTGGTAGAGTATCTAAAGCGTCAATTGCCAAGTTGGTTTGGGGTACAGTCTACCTAGACGATGACTCGAATCCCGCCAATCGACTATTGTCGTAAACCATGACTAAGACAAGACTAGAGCTTAGTTGGAATGGTTAAGGGAAATATTTGTAAATTAACAAAAATCTGCTGATATTTAAAAAAAATAGTATATATACTGATAGTACATATAGATGGACACGATAGTTAGCAATGTGTCTTGTAGGGTCAGCCGGGCTGCTCGTGCCTGGACTGCGCGGCGTCGTGCCCCGTGCCGCCGCCGCGCCCGCCCCCGCACCGGCCCTTCACCATCATGGGCACGGATGGATACGCCTTCGTCATGGCCATCATCTTCCTCATCTTCTCCACGCTCTTCCTCAGCGGCGTCTACTGCTGCAATCCGCACGAGAACCAAGTCGGTGAGTACACCTGAAATACACATGCCTGTGAATGTCAATAAGATTGAGATATGTGTAATACTATTCGAACCTTCTATCAATTATGTAGCTGGCAGAAAATTTCATGCCAGCTACTGGCATTTAAGTGTTCCAGCTACTCACATGCTTGATCTCGGTCTGCAAAACGCAGACTGCGTTATTCTATGTTGGAATTAATTTGTCGATTGTTGAAAATTATATAAAAAATTGAATAGGTATTTAACTTGTACATTTCGTAAGAAATTTCTTATTTATTTTGATCATATCGTCAATTGGTTTATTTTACACAGATTGATAATAAAGATAGAAAAAATAGGTTCGAAATCCATTAATGTTTTACGAAGAAAGAATTTTTTGTTTACATAATTTTTAAAACAAAAATTAATTCGATTATTTGCGGTTTGATTCTTGTTAATTTCTTCCTATAATTGTTTTTATTAAGGGCCTGTCTCACAACAAGCTGATAGAGGCTTACTTTAAAAATGACGTCACTGTCAGATAAGATAACAAAATCCGATATTTCCATCACATATTTGAAATTTTGGATTGTTATCAGACAATTTACAATTTGGTGGGACAGGCCCTAAATGTTATTCCCAACGTTTTAATTCAACATTATCGGTAACGCCATCTCGCTCAAGTCTACTGAATCATTTATATCAACATTTGCATAATTGTTTAATTTCCAGAAATCACGAAATAACACCTTGGTGTATAGTATTTATGTATTTATTGAACGCTAAATCTATTCCAGATACATTTAATATGGCAATGGTGATCTGCTTTTTTAAATTTAAATATTGGTGATGGATATTATTTATATTAATTATTAATTATACAATGGAACAAAATTACATTACATTTTTGCTTTGAAAATTAGAAACTTTTTTATGTCCATTGAGTTAGTAAGGAAATAAAATCGCTGTTCTCGATGTAAATGATCGTATGTTGTAACCTAAATTTACCAGATAGGGTTTTTGCATAACGCAAAATTATGGGTTACGATTATTTACGATTGAGTTATTAATAATTATAAAAATCAATGTAATATTGTTCCAATAAATTACGCACAAGGTGTTTATTGTTTTTAAACTTCTCAATTTCTTATATTTTTCATGATATTGTTTTAATTGTTTATCAGACTTGTGCGTGGTGGTATTTCCAATTAGGTGTTGGATGAGTTACCATGCACTACGTAAATATTTCAAAACAGTGTGATTATTACACAACGTGTATTGCATGGCCACTTGTACTTTTTACTGAATTAATATGACAAAGGCTATCGAAAGAAATCCATCTTAATTTGCTATGATTTGGCAACGTATCTGCAAATGCGGATGTCTATGGGCAGCGGTCGCTTCGCCTTTCGGTGGATTCAGGTGACCGCTTGCTCATTTGCCACCTTGTAACATAAAATCCTCTTTAAAATGTTAAGTATTAAAAAAGTCAAAGATGTTAATTGTAAAAAGGTTTGCTAAAGTAACTTTGAATCATATAAACATAGCAATAAGGTGTATTTCTGTACGGTGTTTTAAATTCGACGGTGCTAACGCGGTGCTTGGGGACAGACGATTGGGCGCGCGGCGGGGAGGACGTCCGCGGCGGCTCGGAGACCAGTCCGCTGCACAGCCACAGATCTAGTACGTATCACATGACACCACAACAGCACACGCTCACCACACATTCACCACAAGCTCACCACTAACTTACCACACGATTAACAACATTTGTGATGACACAACCCAGCGTTTGAGTTGGCACGTTGGGTAGAATAGTATTCTGGTTCCCGACGTGCCAAATCAGATTTTTAGACTAGTATTTCACTAATACCTTAGTAATTTAACTAAATTTAGTTACCATTAATATTTGTATTACCTATTGTTGAAAAAATGGTGATAGGAAGGCGATGTTTTAATATCAAATATTAAACAAAGCGCACTTTTGTAAACTATGACAAATTCCTTTCACATTTATATCAAAACAATGTAACTGCAGTTTTGAATACTTATCTATGTTTTAATTAACTAAATGTTACATTTTTGGTAGCATGAATATTAATAATGAATTATTTACATACAACTAAATTATCTGATTTTACATTAGCAATCGTTAGTTTTCCTCCAGGTATTTATTGCCGTTTATTTTAAAGTATTATTGTGGGGAATCGTATTTTTATTGACTATATAATAATCTATCAACATAACAGTAACAATATAACTAAGATATTTGGTCTAATAGGAAATCGACACCAAAACATTTTTACCTCAGACATTATTCCAAGTCTATATTCTATATTCTTGAAACAAAGGAGGGCGCAGCTATCATGCTTAGATCTGTCCAAATAATATGGTAACCCTACATAGGCAAAGAGAATAACGTAGATTAAAAAAACATGACAAAAGGTTCGGTTTAAGCATTATCGGCGTCCTCTAACTGCAAACTTACACGAAAGGCGTCCATTTATACGCCCGTGGCGCCCCTATATGTGGCTGTGGCGCCCCCATATTTCCGGCGCCCTGGGTAGCCCAAACTTTTCCCTGCCCTTATGTCGCTACTATATGTCATCAGTACAAGATCTTGTAACACTTTACTATTGAAAGGGTGGCATTAATAATAATAATAATAAATTGTTTATTACTTAAAAATATGTCATAATTTATTTTGACTTATGTCCATCTGGTCATAAATTAGCCCAATTATACTAAGGTGAAAATTGTCTACATTTACTTATGTTTAAATTGGCTTTTTATTACTGTTTTGTTGATCGGTTGTTATATACAAGTATTTTTTTTAATGTTGTATTTTGCATGTTCTGTTTCTAACTTAATTATAGTTTGATGCATAATAACACTGCATGGTGTTTTTAAATAATACAAAAATGGGTATATTAACTTCAAACAATACATATGTGTTACATACAAACATTTGTATTAATTCTGTATTCTTTGAGTGTTTTGTATGGCGTTTCCAATGCTTTTATGTCTTCGTCTTTATGAGATCTAATTGTCCTTGTTAAAAGGAATAGAGTAGTTTTGTCTTTAAAAGTAATTTAATTTTTATAAATCTGAATAGATTATTTGCATATTTAGTATTACATCGACATTTTAAAATTCGTTCGTAAATACGTAATTTAATTTGTCTTAGTTTTAGACTTAGCGAATGTTTGCCCAATAGTTGCCAAAAAGGGCAAAGAAAATCTTTTAGGCAAACTAGCTTTTGTTCACAAGAAAACATAAAAATAATCTATTAATCTCAGGTGTAGCTTCAGACACGAACCAAGAGATGTCTACCAACCCGACTAGTGTGGGATGGACAGGGGAGCAGGGTGAGGGCGGTGACGCGACCTTCTTCGAGCGTCTCGGAGCAGAGACTGAGACCAGGCTGGAGGACTTCTTCCAGTGGTGGGGATGCATCATGGCATCGCGACCTTGGATCGTCTTATTCCTTGGTAAGAACACAATGATCTACAAATCGACATATGGTTATACTAGCTTTCGCCCGCGACCCTGTCCGTGTGGAATTAAAAAAATACTAAGTAGCCTATGTGTTCTTCCAGACTATACATCTATACCAAATTTCATCGAAATCTTTTCAGCCATTTAGGCTACAAACTTTAGTAAACATCCATCCATCCATAAACTTTCGTAATTATTATAATAGTATGATGAATTGATGTTATTGATTTATTTATTGTTAAAAAAAAAAACGTAGCTAATATGTTCTTATAAACTATGTTCTACGTCTGCTAAATTTCATCGAGATCCGTTTAGCCTTTAGGTTATAAACTCTAAAAACGGGTCTTTGTCCATCCATCCTTTTGTGTTAATTTTCACATTTATAATTTAGTAAAATAAATTTCATAGAATATGGGTTTCTTACCACGATTGGGATGTCCTGTTGGCCTGCGAACATGGCGCACGCAACTGTGTCGAAAAAAATATCGGAAAAAACCAAGAAAATCGTGGCAAGAAACCAGTATCTTACGAACATTGTATTTATAAAAACCACGACAATTTAAAATTATATTAAGGTTTATAATTTGTGTGACAGGTCTATGTTTTGTGGTTTCTCTGGGCTTCGGTATAAAGTATATGCAAGTGACGACCAACCCTGTTGAACTGTGGGCGGCGCCGAACTCCCGCTCTCGTATGGAACGGGACTACTTCGATACACACTTCGAGCCCTTCTACCGCACGGAGATGCTCATCATCAGCTCCAAGGGTCTGCCCAAGGTGGAGTATACGACGGAGAGCGGCACCGTCTTCGACTTCGGACCAGTTTTCAACTCTACCTTCTTACTTAACGTGTTGGATCTGCAAGAGAGGATTATGGGTGAGTTGAAATTTTATAAGTTATGGTTACGGTGAAGGGTTTTCAATATACTAAGTGATAGATTTAACTATTATTACTCAACAGGCGTGTTTAAAATAGAACAGACTAGAAACTCTTGTTTCCAAACAATATCTTATCTGTATATATCTACAAGTTTCTGCCCGTGACACTAACCGCTTGGAATTTAAAAAAAAAACGAAGTACTCTATGCATTCTACTAGATTATCCCCTACATCTATGCCAAATTTCATCAAACAAACAACCATTTAAAGTTTCGCTTGTGAAATGAAATATAGAGTTGGTGGTATATAGCTATCTCTTTCAGCATTGGGCAATGAGACGAAGTTAGAGCACATTTCTCACGTAAGAATGAATAGAAAGTTGATACAACATATCTATCTCTTTCAGCATTAGGTAATAAGACAAAGATGGACATTTCGCATATGAGAATGGAGAGAGTTGATATAATATATCTATCTCTTTCAGCATTGGGCACTGAGACAGAGTTAGTGGACATTTCGCATGTGAGAATGGAGAGAGTTGATACCGTATATCTATCTCTTTCAGCATTGGGCAATGAGACAAAGTTGGAGGACATTTGCTTCGCGCCGCTGCAGTCGCAGTTCTCGTCGGCCACCACGGCGTCGGAGTGCGCCGTGCAGTCGGTGTGGGGCTGGTGGGGGAACAACCGCGAGAACCTCATAGACAGCCTGGATGATAACGCCTATCTGGAAACCGTGCTGTCTTGTGCCAGGTACGTTATGATACCAACTTCTTTAATTCATTTTTGTTTTTTTTTTTCGTTTGTAGCAAATGTCAATAGTCTAATGGTTTGGGGGACGGACTACCGATTTTGCGATCGAGGGTTTGAATCCCAATGACTATTCTGAACCATAGTACAAACTGACAGCTTAGTTGGAATGGTTAAAGGAAATAGTAGTAAATTAAAAAAAACTAATATATTCTCCATAGAAAATAAATCTTTAAATCACTAAAGATTTCCATGGGTTTAATTGTTTTTCTTCAATTATGAAGACATGAAGTGGGAGCAATTTTGCGAACAGGCGGAAGAGTGTGGTGCCGGGGGCTCAACTTTGATCCCTTTTCGTTCCCATCCTTCTTTTTATAATAAAAGGATGGTAAAGTGGATTTGACGGTGGAGGAGACGCATCGGAAGGGGAAACATCCTCTTCCTCCTTCCGGAATTAAAAATAGCTTTGTAGTCGCTTCGTCATTTTGGCGGGTCTAGGTGGCCGCTTGCTCGTTTGCCACGTTATGATATAAAAAATGGTGGTGGAGAGTGAGGAGACTAAAAAAAGTATTATCATATGTGTTGTATATTGTTCAGTAACCCGTACTCGTGCCTGGCGCCGTACGGCGGGCCGGTGCTGCCGGGCGTGGCGCTGGGCGGCTTCCTGGCGCCCGGCGAGCCGCTCACCGCCGCCTCGCGCTTCCACCAGGCGGACGCCCTCATCATCACCATCCTCGTCAACAACAAACACGACACCAACCAGGTAACAACTAGGCTAGCTTTAACACCCCGTTATTGTACGTAGGACTTAATTCAAGCCAATCAATCAATAAACTTCTATGCTAAACTAAGCTAAGCTTTTCCGCGTGGAATTAAAAAAAAACGAAAGCGAGTAGCCTATGTGTTCTACAAGACTATCCTCTACATCTGTATCAAATTTCTTCGAAATCTGTTGGACCGTTTAGGCTATAAACTCGTAACAAACATTCATCCATCCATCCATCTAAATTTTCGCATTTATAATATCAGTATGAAGTATGATTATGTTATATACTATCTGACGACCGCGATTTTGCGCGAAAAAAAAAATTAGTAAGACTGCCAAAAATCGAGATCCGTTAGGTTTTATAAATTCTTACTAACATCCATACAAACTTTACAATTCATATTACTAACCAAATACTAAACCTGCAAGGTTTTTAATGATATTTTACAACATTATTTCTGTAGTTTTACTTATTTAAATAAATCTTTTTGCGGCTACTATTGTTTATTAAACTGACTTCAATCACATTTGTCTTATAAAAATCTATTTCCAGCTCAAACCAGCTTTAGAATGGGAAAAGAAATTCATAGAGTTTATGAAGAATTACACTGAGAACGAGATGCCGTCGTACATGGATATCGCGTATACTTCCGAGCGCTCCATAGAGGACGAGCTGGACCGCGAGTCGCAGTCCGACATCTCCACTATCCTCGTCTCTTACTTCATCATGTTCGCGTATATCGCTATCTCGCTCGGCCGCTTCACCACCTGCTCCCGACTGCTCATCGACAGTAAAGTCACCTTGGGATTAGGAGGTTAGTAATTATTGCTTGATTTTAACTGACTATAAAGAGGGTAATTTTTTCGCCTTTATATATGTTTTTATGTAGGTTTTCCTGTGTGTAAATTCTGTTATCACTGTCTATAGTCATAACATATATTTTTTAATTATAATTCTACAACTTAATTGTGATATAAAAGAGTTCAAATCTCACTCGTCATGCCTTTTTCTTCACTTTTTAAACCCTTTGTCGTATAAATTGCTCTCTTTTTGAATTATAAACTATACCAATATTATAAAGAGGAAAAATGGTATAACTCAAAAACCTAACAACTGAGTAACATAAGCTATATTTTTACATTTTTTTAAAATTCCACGCAGACGAAGTCTCTCAATTTAATTTGCGAAAAAAGTTAGCTCTACGTTCCGGTCTGTTTGTACGTACATATGTAATGCTAAAGAGATTTTTCTCTTAGTTTAAATAGTGTTTTAAATATATAATACTAGCTTTTGCCCGCGACTCCGTCCGCTTAGAATTAAAAAAACAAAAGCTAGTAGTTTATGTGTTCTACCAGAGTATATTCTACATCTATGTCAAATTTCATCCATATCCGTTCAACCGTTTACGTTAGAAACTCTTAATAAACATTCATCCATGTAAAGTGTCGCATTTATAATATTAGTATGGTTTATCAGGTGTGTTGATTGTGCTGGCGTCCGTGGCGTGCTCGGTGGGCATGTTCGGGTACGCGGGCGTGGCCGCCACCCTCATCATCGTGGAGGTGATCCCCTTCCTGGTGCTGGCGGTCGGCGTCGACAACATCTTCATCCTGGTGCAGAGCAGCCAGCGCGAGCCGCGCAGACCTAATGAGACCGTCGCTGAACATATTGGAAGGACGTAAGTAATTATGCACTTATACGTAAGTTTACGGACGTATACGCCCGTATGCGGACGTGTGATGTACATAAACTCACTGATTTCACATGTAAACATACGTATATGTAATCGTTACGCACGTATACGTACATATAGGTATACGTTGCGGACATGTACGCCCATTTTACGTACTTTGACGTAAAACGAAAAAGCAAATTATTGACACGTTTCGTTTGAGCCGAGTATGCTTGAAAGAATGCGGAACTCGTAAATCAACGTTTTTTTTTTAAAAAAAAAAGCTCTAAATTGTTTATTCTATATACGTCGATTACGCTGCGATTTATAATCAGATTAACGTGATTCAGTTTTATTTAACGCAAAATAACTGCTACTTGGTTTTATTTCTAATACTCTCTAGCAGATTTTGAGAGCAGCGACTCGAAGTGGGTCTTGGCATCCGACACGAGAGAGCGCCCTTTTCTCTAGTGTCGGTTTTGTAACAAAGCCTTTTAAAAATGTTACCAAAAACATAATTTATAGACGTTTTTACGTATGTCAGGTTGGGTCAAGTGGGCCCGTCGATGTTCCTGACGTCGGTGTCGGAGTCGGTGTGCTTCTTCCTGGGCGCGCTGAGCGACATGCCGGCCGTGCGCGCCTTCGCGCTCTACGCCGGCGCCGCGCTGCTCGTCGACTTCCTGCTGCAGGTCACCTGCTTCGTGGCGCTGCTCGCCATCGACACGCACCGGCAGAACGCCAACAGGTCCACCATACATTACTAAATATGTAGTTGACACTTCTATTGATAATAATAGCTCCGAAACATCTCAATATTCATTGTATTACTAATAAGTGTCACTAAAGCTCGAATGTTTATGTTTAATTTATAACTAAAGATGGAGCTTATTTTGTAAGGATTATGTTCAAGGACACGAGGTGGCACTTAACGTGACTACTAACTTAGTAGCTACCAAAGAAGTTACCGAAGAAAAAATGTCTACTGTGTCTACTCTATACATTTCTTAAATGTCTTTCTCTTGAACGTCGAAAAGTATTTAATCTTTGACATTTCGTCACAAAATTCTTTGTTCTATGACAGAAACGTCAAAGATCAAGAGACTTTTGACGTTTCCGTCATAAGTTAGGCTCTCTCCTCATTTCCATCTTTTATTGACATTTATTGAATGGGGATCTGCCTCCCGAAGTAATTAAAGAAAATATAATTTTACGACCTGAAAAAAAAATGTTTCGTGACTTAGTGTGCTCGATAAAAATGTCGTGAAGGTTGTATTTGTATATGTTGTGTAGATTCGACGTGCTGTGCTGCCTGAGCGGCAGCAAGGCGGAGGGCGCGGCGGGCGCGGGCGAGGGCGCGCTGTACAAGCTGTTCCAGCACGCCTACGTGCCCTTCCTGATGCGGCGCGAGGTGCGCGCCACCGTCATGATCGTCTTCTTCGCCTGGCTCTGCTCCTCCGTCGCGGTCAGTACCACTAGCGCCCTCTATACATCTGTCTCTTTGTCTGTTTGTTTGTTCCCTGTTATCACAGAAATGACTGAACCGATTTTAATAGCACTTTTCCGAGATTATAGTTTGGTTGTTCGTGAATGTTATAGGCAACTTTTTTTTTACAAACGAGCGATCTGCCCGCATCCGCTATTACAGAAGCGTTGCCTACTATTGACGAAGGAAGAGACATACATATTTCCCCTATGCGACTCCACTATCAAATCCACTTTCCTTTCCCATCCTTACCTAAAAAAGTGGAATGGGACAGACTGAAGGCCGAATTACCTCCACTTTACGCCTGTCTAATGGTCCTGGTATTGCATGTGGCGGGCAGGCCCTATACAGTGCGAAGATGTTAAAGCGAGATCTACCATTTTTTTTTGGAAACCTCTAGTAAGGAACTAATAGTCGATTTGTGAATTATTTCGTAATTTTGCTTGTAAGCGCTGTTTACAATCTGTTACTCAAACTCGGCGGTGAACATTACGGTAGTCCAGTTACACGTTAGCAGACCTTCCCTTATAAAAGGAAAAAAACTAAAAGAAATTTAGAATTTAGTTGGTATTTCTTTAATATATTCGTGATTGTGTGTCAGGTGGCGCCGCACATAGAGATAGGTCTGGACCAGGAGCTGTCGATGCCTCAGGACAGCTTCCAGCTGAAGTACTTCCAGCACCTCAACAAGTACCTGAACATCGGGCCCCCCGTCTACTTCGTGCTGATGGATGGACTGGACTTCTCCCGGAAAGAGGCACAGAATATGGTCTGCGGTACCCGCTTCTGTAACCAAGACAGCCTCTCTATGCAACTCTATGGAGGTTAGTTAAATATTCATCACTAGCTGTTGCTCGTGACTTTGCCCGCGTTAAATTACAAAAATAGTAAAAATGTAGCCTACGTTACTCACAGATAATGTAGCTTTCAAATGGTAAATGAATTTTTGAAAGATTTTTAATTTTGTATGTATTGAAATAACTCAAAATCTACTGACCAATTAAAAAAATAAAGATTTTTTAAAATGGACAGTAGATTTTAGACAGTAAATAGTGAAAGCATTATTAAAATTCTACGTTATCACAGAGTAACGTAGGCTATGTTTATTTCCATTTATTTAATTCTACGCGGACGAAGCCGCGAGGAATCTAAAATATAAAAAAAATCCGAATTTCATAAATATAATATGTTAAAGTGACGTGTCGATTTATAGCAATAAAGTCTTCTTTTTGCCTGGTTTAGTATATTTATTGTAATATTTGTGCAATAAGTGTTAAATAAATGTACTCGTGTCCGCAGCGTACCTGTCCTCCAACGAGACGTACCTGGCGCAGGCGCCCAACTCTTGGCTGGACGACTTCTTCGACTGGGCGGCGTCGCCCGACTGCTGCAGATACTTCCCCGCCAACTCCAGCTTCTGCCCCAACTCCAACACCAGTTAGTATAGCAGTGGTAGAGCCCGCTATAACATATTCGCGCTGTAGGACCAGCTCGCCCCCGCCAATACCACGACCACACAAGACAGCCGTAAAGTGGAAGCAATTCCACGTACAGTCTGATGAGTGGGATTATTTCCAACCGTCCCCCTGGTTTGTCCCCACGTGAGAACGTGTGAGAAAAAAGTTTCATCCGTCCCGCTATCACCAATAAGGCGACAGATAGAACCGTTATGAAATAAAATAAGTTCCAACCGTCCCTTCGTTGTAAAATGTGGGACGGATGAAACTTTATATTCTCCTCTGGTCCAAAGTGAGGATAGAGCGGGGTGACGGTTGGGAATTACTCGATGAGTGTGGTGCCGGTGTCCCAACTTTGGTCCCTTTCCGCCTTAAAAATTTTAGAGTTTATTACAATACTAGCTGTTCCTGTGCGGCTTCATCCGCATGAAATTATAAAAACTTTATTAGCAAATGTCAAAATTTCAGTTGCCATAGTAACCTTGTAGTTTATGGTCCCTTTCCCACTTGAATGTTTTTTTCCAATTTATTTACCTCCTAAGTTTAATAAAGTGATGCCTAAAGTGTGTCGTAAGTATTAGGGCTTATTAAAGAAGGAATCATTTACAAATATGCTGTTGTTCGCGCCTAAACAGCGCCTTATGATGGGTTGCGAAACCGGTCCGCGCTTCCCCCACTCAACGCACAGGACCGCCCCTAGAATCTGCTGGCGCAACGTCTTACGCGCCCCCGCATCGATCAGTGTAAAATCATCCAACAGCAACAGTAACACTCAATACAATAAATACTGTGAAATAGTACGTGTGTTTCAATAGAAGATTATAAGCCACATAAAGTGGCGACCGTAACAATAGCTGTCATTGTTGACATCCTACGCCACGAAGTAGTGTGTAGTTACGCTTTATTATATTAGTGTAGATTTAGTCTTATTTCTCAAAGAAATGTAATTTTCAGGCTGCAAGAAATGCAACATATCACTAGAGGATCCAGAACAGAGACCGAACGCGTCCGACTTCGATCACTACGTGCCCTACTTTTTACAAGACAATCCGACTCCTTCGTGTCCCAAAGGCGGGCATGCGGCGTATTCGCAGGCCGTTAACTACAAATACAAGAATAAAACGAAAATCGGTGCAACTTTCTATCAAGGATATCATACCGTGTTGAAGACGAGCAATGATTACTACTCCGCGTTGCGCGCCGCGCGCACGGTGGCCGCCAACCTCACAGAGACAATCAATAGACATCTGAAGAGTATGAACGAGACGGCGACAGTCAACGTGTTCCCCTACTCCGTCTTCTACGTCTTCTACGAACAGTACCTCACTATGTGGCCCGATACCTTGAAGAGTATGGGCATTTCTGTACTTTCTATATTTATTGTTACTTTTATATTGATGGGATTCGATTTGTTCTCCGCTTTGGTGAGTTTAGACTTTTTTTGTTATTTTACTATGCTATAAAAAAGAGAAAAGATTGGTATTTTTTTATGTATTAAAATAAATTAAAAATTACTGAGTGGATTTAAAAAAATCTTTCACCATTAAAAAGTTATGTTATCAGTAACATAACATAGGCTATGGTTTATTATTATTATTTTAGACAGTCATAAGCAGCAGCTAGAATGAAAATGTGAAATTTAAGATGGATGTTTGTTATTTCATATCTCCGTAATGGCTGAACGGATCTCTGAAATTTGGCATAGATTTATAAAATAATATAAAAAAAAATATATGCAATTAAGTTTTCTTTTAAATCTCCACTGACTGAATTACATGTATTTGTAATTGTTACAAGGTTTCTTATTTCTTTAATAATGAAACATAAATAATAATATTTTGAATGTTATAGTTATATATGTTATATGATATATTTACTTTGTGTGCAGGTTGTGGTGATAACAATAACAATGATAGTGGTGAACATCGGCGGCCTCATGTACTGGTGGGGCATCAGCCTCAACGCAGTCTCCCTTGTCAACTTGGTAAATTATACTCATTTTTATATAAACAGCTCAATAATGTGTACTAATATAAAGAAAAAAAGTAAAATAAGTGAAATAACTCAAAAACTACTTGGTAGATTTATAAAAATCCTTTCACCGTTAAAAAGATACGTTATCGGTCAGTTACTTAAGCTATGTTTTTTATTTTATTCATAAAAAAATTTTTCATAAAAAAAATTGTATCACGTAAGTATTTTCTGTGGAATAAAATAATTATGTTTTCTGACTAGCTCCCTATCGACCCTTAATCAGCGCCCCTTAGATCAAAGTTTGGTGACATCTGTGTGTTACGTTTATGGATAGAAGTTATTTGTTATGCTACGAAATATGACGTTAGTGAATGTGATGGTGGTGATGTCAGGTGATGGCGGTGGGCATCGCGGTGGAGTTCTGCTCGCACCTGGTGCACAGCTTCAGCGTGTCGGGCGGCGCGTCCCGCGAGCAGCGCGCCGCCGCCGCGCTCACGCGCATGGGCTCCTCCGTGCTGTCCGGCATCACGCTCACCAAGTTCGGCGGCATCATCGTGCTCGCCACCGCCAAGAGCCAGATATTCCAAGTACGATCACGCGGTTTATTTTTTATAATACAAGCTAGCAAACGAGCAAGAGGCCACCTGAATCCACCGAAATGGAAAGCGATCGCTGCCCATAAACATCCGCAATTGCAGATGCTTTGCCTACCCTTCATTGACGAAGGAGGAGACGCACATAAAGAGGACATTTCCCCTTCATATGGGTCTCCTCCACCGTCAAATCCACTTTTCTTTTCAATCCTTTCCTCTTAAGAAAAGGGTGGAAAAGAAAAGGGACTAAAATTGGGCCTCCGGTACCACACGCATCAGACGAAACGCGGAATTGCTTCCACTTCACGCCTGTTTTCTGTGTGGTCGTGGTATTACACCGGGCGAGCCCCTGCAGTGTGAAGATGTTAAAGCGGGCTCTACCACTGTTCGCGACTACGCGTTTACTTATACGAGTGTCCGACTCGAAGGACCATCTTTTTAAAGTGACTTTTTATCGACTTTTTGTAACTAGTTATCTTGTTAAGTATTAAAAATGGTAAAAGGCAAGTCGGAGATGTGTTAATATGACAAAACAAGTATGTGTACCTGTTTATCCGACTCGAAGGACCATATTTTGAAGTATTTTGTCATGTTAAAAAAACTGTATTGAATCTGAATTTTTCCTTGGTTTATGGTATTTTGTAAATTGGGTCACAAATGAGACCTTATACATTTCTCTATCTCTATTTCTTGCTAGATTTCTTAGAATTAGTTCTTTCATAAAATCTTATATGTTATTTTTTGTAATTCAGGTGTTCTACTTCCGAATGTACCTCGGCATAGTGTTGTTCGGCGCCGCGCACGGCCTCGTCTTCCTGCCCGTCATGCTCAGCTATATCGGTGAGTTGCCGCACCTCACACACCTCACACACCTCACGTGTCTCACACCATCCATGCTTCACACTTCTCATACAAACTTTCATATCTTGCATATCACTTCACGAGCCGTACACACCTCAGGTACCTCAAATAACACACGTGTCTCACGCCTCACTTGCCTAACACGCGTCATGCAAACTTACATGCCTTACGCCAATCAGTTTACGTGTCTCAAGCTCCACACAAAACCTCACATACCTCACTCTTCCCACGCTTTATACCGCACTCATAAAACTATAAACAGACTTAAAATGTAACTTTACTTATACATACAATACATGCATGAGATGTATGAATGTGGAAGAGGCGATAGATGTGCCAAGTCCTAGTTGAATGGAAGTCGGTAATTTCTGCCTACCTTCTTGGGTTGGGCGTGAGTTATTATGTTGTTTGTGTAGAACTATCTCTGTTTTGATAGACTTGGCTCAATGGAATAAATGTTAAATACATTCAATATTTCAGGCAAATATTTTAAACTAGTTTTGGCCCAGGATTCCGTCCCTGGAATAAAAAAACGATAATAAGTAGCCTGTGTGTTCTTCCATACTATCATCTACATCTGTACCAAATTTCATTGTGATCCGTTCAGCAGCTTAGCTTAAAAACTCTAACAAACATTCATCCATCCAAACTTTCGCATATTAGTAAGATTCTAGTTTAGTCAATGTATTCCACAATAATACTCTGCTAATAATAAAGCTATGATTTAAGTTACGTTAGTCTATTTTTCAAATTACAGAAATATTGCATGCTTCTTATTTCTTATATTGTTTTGACATTTTTTTATTTTGTCGCCTTTTTTTAGTTTTTTTTTTGCTTGTATGTTGGACCTTTGAAGCAGAATTAGTTTTATAAATATCGTTTTGTATTTATTTTTCTACAACTGTCTTTAATGGTTTACAAAGAATTTTTATTTTTATAATCGTATTAAAGACAGTTTTTTTGTTTTGTTTTTTTTTTTCTTTTTGCGGTGTAGTAACAACTAATAATGTCTAATTTTTACTAACAAATTGTGGTTTTGGTAAGTCTATTATGGCATTTTTTTTTTCATAGCTTAAGATATTTTTTATGTTTGCTTTTAAATTATATGCGCTAATCATTATTAATATTGTTTCTTATTAAAAGAAATAACATAGTAAAATTATTTAGTAATAAAATAACAAAGTATTAGAACTGCTTACTACGTAACACGCTTTCAAATAGTGGTTCCCAAGTATTTTGTCAAAAGGTATAATTTTTTCCTAAACTCTGCTAGTAAATCGAATTTTCATGTTACAGTTTGCTGAGTTTTTAAGGAACGGAAAGTTTTTTTTTCACTAAAGTTTAGAAATCAACGGAATTCCGTCTAAAACGTGAATTTACTAATTGTCAATAGCAACCTGGTCTACGTTTAAACCCTTTCACCATTAAAAATTATGCTACAAAATAAAAAAAAATCCAATAAGTTTTTTTTTTCAAATTTTTTTTCTAGTTTTTTTTTTTCATTTTGAATGTTTGGTAACCGCTTATGTTAGGCAAATAATGAACATTATAGGTGTGTAAATAGCAGAAAAGGGCTGTAAGGAGGAAGGTAATGTCAGGCAGGTAACGCGCTGGGTTTTTCAGGGTCGCCGATGAACAAACAGAAGCTGGCCAAGCAGCTGCTGCGCGGCAAGGAGCGCGGCGTCGCGGAGACCTCCCTCACGCGAGTAAGCGGCGAGACTTACACGCAGTATCACTTTGACTGCTAGCTTCACGAGAATAGACTCTGTTTCTATATGCATAAGATACAATATCGTGTACCATCCGAAGTGCCTAATTTCTTTAGTGTAGTGGTCAAGTGCTTGACCTTTCTAGTAATTATTCATTAAGTATGAAAAGTTTTTAGTGTACTAAAATGCAATAATTTTTTTTTTATTGTATTTGGTTATTTTTGGTAATACGTTTGTCGACCACTACTTCAGTGTATTTACAAGTCTATACTTTGATATAGCACGTTATATGTTACGATTTTGCAAAAAAAAATTCGAAAAATTAACTTTTTGTCAATATATGTTTATAGATTTTGTTTGTAATTTTAGTTTTTAAAAAAGAAATCGCTTCGGATGGTTACACGCATTAGAACATTGTCTAATCTCGTATCGGTTACTAACGGTTTCGGGCTATTTGTAATATTCTAAGGTGGTTTACATTTGTACAAAAAAAATTTTTTTTGTTCGTTATCTGTACACTGCCTTAAGTGTTCGAAACTTTAAAAGTTTCCTCGATTGATATGGTGAAATGCATTTATTTATTGTTAATGGATTTGGAAATTTGTAATTTAAATAAAAAAGTAATAAAAAAAAATTACAAATTTTTAACTCCAGGGGTCTGGTTGACCGTTAAGGTCTTTGGCACAGGCTGCGGATGGTCTTTGGCACAGGCTGCGGATTTTTTCCTTTTTAATATTTAATTTGCATGTATGTATGTTAGATGTATGGACATTAGCCATTCCTATTTTTTTTCGAATTTATTTATTTTTTTTGTTGTCGGCTTTGGGCGCCATCGCCTTTTTTGCACATTTTTTTCATATTAACACTGATACTTAATTGTTAGTACTTAAAGCATTGGATATGGCAACACCAAAAATCTGTTTTTTTTCTATGCTAATTTTGGGGTGAGCGCGCAAATACGAAAAAACGTGTTTTTTTTGTATTTTTTTCAAGGTAATGTCAATAATATTTCGTAATGAATTAAATTATTTTTGAATATCATGTTTATATTGTTAGTAAGTAGATTTTCGAATAACTCTTTTTTAGAAAGCGTGCATTAGATTCGAATATGTTATAAATGAACGTATTTTATTGTGAAAATGTATGAAATGGATGTGGTTGTTAATATGAATAATTTTCCCCTTATTTCAAAGTGATTTCATTATTGTATTTTTGTGGGTAAATTATTAGACAATTAACCTATAAATTGGGCTAAATATACCCAATGATTTCAGATTGATTATTATGTTGATTTTTTTATTGTTTTAATAATAAAATATTCACAGCCTTTTTATTTATTTGCTATAAACAGCTTTTTTTGTTGTTATACTGGTTGACACAAGAATTAGACAAGAATTTCTGTTGATTTTTTTTAAATCTACCTTTGTATTGCAAAAAAATGCAATCAAAGAGAAAAAATCTTGTTTAGTTTTTGTATCAGATATGAAGACGCCTCGAAACTAAGACTGCTTTAAATTTTGTACTAAATTAGAGATTTGGAAGAGATTTTATATAAATGCTAGTAACTTTTAAATTATTTATGTCGGGAGTACTTATTTTGAATACAAACCTAAGAAAGTAGGTCTAAAAAAGACACTTTTTTCGTTTTTAGATAAAAAAAAATACCTGCAAAATTTTTTTGAAATTGAATTTTTATGAGATTGTGTAGGAATAATTAAAAATATATGTTTTTTCTCAAACAAATCGTCTCAAAAACATGTATTTAAATAAAATAAATACGTTTTGTACTATCAAATTTCAATGCGATTAGTGTTTTTTTTTTTTAAATAAATTTCAGTATTTTTTTTTTCGAGCATTCTAAGTCGCGTTGGCGGATGGGCTGTCTTTATCCTAGATGTCGCACATTTATTAAATTAATTTATTTCCTAACTAACATTGGGGTATCTCTTCCAGTGTGACTGGTGTTGGTAACACTGACTCTCCCATTCTGTTGATTTTGTATGACAATTGAGTTGTATTTACAGGTACACCTGTAAACGCCATGGGATTAAATAAAGGAACAAATTATTTATTCTAGGGGTAATAATATGGTTTCTTGCGTAGTTTAATGTTTAGGGGCGGCAGCCTCATGTTCCTAGTGATTTTAGGAGTTTTGTATACTAAATAATTGTGTATTTAATATCCCAATACCGAGGAATCTCCACTACTTAAAGTTAGTACTTACTCTGTGGGATTTTATCCAAAGTGTATTGTAATAGCTTATGGCATATTTGTAATAGAAATAAAATTATTTTTTTTCGACCGTTTTTTGTTTTATTTTTTAGTTTTAGCAACTGCATGGCACTTATTGGTGTTGCCAGTTTTTGCATGTTTGACCATAGATTTGTAACATATAAGTGGGGCACAAAAGTTAGATGAAAAGGCCTGTAGAGCCTTTTTGTGGGAGAAATTTCCTCAATCGTTAACAGTATTAAGTGAAATTTCGCAAATCGTTCGTAAAATGTAAAAAAAATACAAGAAATTGTCCATTTATAGTTATACATCTATAGTCATAAAAAAATTAACCGCCATTTTATTGAGCAATTCGTTTTATGTAATTATCCGGAAGTACAAAGGTCCAATATACATAATTGAGCGGTTTTTTAGTAAATAAGTTGTTACTAAATTTTTACTTTTTTTCTTTTTGGATCATAAAGGAGCTTCTGTGCGTAAGTCAAAACAACGTAAGAAATATTATTTATTTAGAAAAAAATGTATACGTAAAATGACAACAGATAAGCTTTGCAAATACTAATCACAAGGGTAGTTACATATTGCAATTTTATTATTCCTGCTTGACTGTTGACCACATTATTCATAATCAGTTATTTTACTGCCATATTTACATCAAGGACTTAGCTGGAAAAACAAAAGCGAGAGTTACATAGTATTTTTTATTACTTATTTAATAATTCACAAATTAAAACAGACTTGAAACAAAAGCAAGAAACCCTTAATCATTAAATTAATCTTAGTAATGTGGTCCAAGGTATGTTTTTAGTAATTATTTGATAAAATTATTTTAATCAAATAATTACTAAAAACCGTACAAAGCAACCTACAGCACGCTTTACCACATAAATGAAAAAAAATCGTAACCATGGCAACCACTACTGAAGCAAGTAGTAACTAAAGTTCAAAAAGATATGACCCCAATATTTAAAAAAAAAGTTCTTCAGCATTGCACCAACGGTAAAAGAAACATCACAACACTTAGTTAAACCACAGAATTGCTACACGTAAAGCAAACGCGTAAATGCTGATCTTGTGCAATGAACACACCACTGCCTTATCTGACCACTTAGTATGAGCAATTTACAGTAATAATGGTTGTCTGTCTGTTTAGCAATAGAGTAACTAAAATATAATGGGCGTCGCCAACCAATGTAGGAGAGGCAGATTATCAAAAGGATAATTATTTAATAAAGGAAAAAAAACAGATTGATGACCTTTTGGGAAGTTGGTTAGTGACGTCATTATTGAGCTATCAACAAATCTCTAGGGTTTGCAGTAAAGTGTTATGGGTTGTTAAAAATGCAGCACGCGCATACGGATGCCAAGCTAGTCTAGTTAATATCGATCGTTTCCTGAAAGCGATATAAACATTTAACTGATAGAGTACAAGGTAACACTTACGGATAACGATAACATTTATTACTTGACTGATACTTATCTGTATCTATACTAATATAATAAAGCGTAAACACACACTTCTTTGTTGCCTAAGATGTCAGCAATTACAGCATATTTTTGAATATCTCTTGTTTTAATAAAAAGCCCTACTCTTACGTCACGCTTTATGCTATACATTTTCACGCCATTAAACTTAGGGGTAAATTATCAGAAAAAAAACCCTAATGTGGGAAAGGGACCATAAGGTACAATTGCCAATATCAAGGAAGTAAGATTGCAATTGTTTAACATGTCATGTCATTTTGACATTTGCAATTGATATGACAAAAGTAAACAATAAAATATAATTTTCATAGTTATCATGCGGATGAAGCCGCACGGGAACAGCTAGTTACCAAATATTGGTGGTACGAAAATATCTATACGACTATGACAATATAAATAGCTAAGAAATAATTAACTCATTTATGTTATTTTTAATGTCAGTAATATAATAAAGCTTTTGCTTCTTGTGATGTATTCCATTTAGAATTGCTTTCGTAATTTTCATTTCTTGCATGCGTAAATCGGATTTGCACCGACTTGAATCACAATAGTAATTTATGCAATGTAGTGTACATTAATTACACCGAGTAAGTAATGCACAAGGGATAGGGACTTAAACTCCCAAAGTCCAGTTGGACTCCTGGGATCCACGGGAGACTTGACAAAAGGTGTATGAAGAAATATAACAGAGGTTTACTGCAATTAGTTGAAAGTTATAACTAAAGCAACGAAAGATATAAAAACATCGTCTACTATTCGTAGGCATAACCCGTCGTCGGGGACGCTGGCGGGTGTCAGGACGCGGCCGCGCCTACGGCAGTCTAGACAACCCGCCGGAGCCCCACGCATCCAGCTCGGAGCCCCTCACCAACGAGATGTAGCGACATCTAGTGAACGCGACTCGCAATCACATTGTACACGATACTTCTAGTTCGTACAGACCATCTTGATACTTGCGAACTTTATTTAATAATGAATTTGTTTATTAATTGTAGATTAAAGTGTTTTAAAAATGCGTTTCTTATGACGTATTTTGTTTTTGATAAAATGTTAACGAAAAGTTGTACTTTAGAACAACGAAATTATACGAGTTATTTAACTAAAGAATGTAAATAAGCAGAGTAATAAAATATTATTCTAAGCTTTGTTATAGATAAGTGACATTATCTAACAATTAAGAAATTTAAAATTAACGTATTGGTGTGACAAGAGGATTGCGAATCGCGACATCTAGTGGACTCGGAAGAAACTAAAAGCAAGTGGAAAATGTGAAGTTATTGCAGCTAGAGGACTGTAACGGTGTAGTGTAGTTTAATATCGTGGTAACTGATGTTTTATCTCAAACATTTTACGTTACAAAGCAAAAATAAAAGAAGCCAGGAAGTCTCAAACTTTGTAGAAAAAAAACATTTCAAATATCAAACTGGTGTAAAACTTATCAACAAAATATCGTTAATAATTTTTTTGTCTTCCACATTTTGTTCTGTAGACCAAAGACATGATTATTTTAGTCTTTGAGTGTTATATTATAATACTTGTATGGAAGGGCGGATCCAGCTTTGGCGCCAGGGGAGGGTGGGTCACAAAGTCGTGGTCAAGTCAAGAGCTCAGGGGGGGTCATGAACCCCATGACCCCCCCCCCCTGGATCCGCCATTGCTTGTATGATATTATTAGATGCCATTTTATCGAAGTCTCGAGATAGTTGAAATAATTTAAACTTAGTATTTTTGTCTAGTAATGAATTTTAATTGTAAATGTGGAACTTTAAAGTTTAATAATATAGTATGTAATATTTAAAAACATAAAAAAGATTTAAGTATCATGATTAATCGAATTATAAAAATTGCCCCATTTAAAATAATGAAGGTAGTCTCGAAATTGTAGATGAATTCGATTCGACTTCAGGGCAGGAAAATTGTTTGTGTTTGTAGGAATTATATCGTCACAGAAGATTTTAAAGTAAATTGTTGTTAAAATTACCTTAAGAGTTTATTAATGCAATTACTTATATTATTTGTGATAATAGTAAAATAATAACGTGATTTTAAATTTCGATATTGTGTAATACAAAGCGAGAGAAGAAATAATTTAAAAACAAGTTTTACAGTTTAAAATTTCAGTTTTTTAATTGCCGTTTTAGCTAATTTTAAACTATCTTGTCTATTACTATTTTTTAAAATAAGGACAAAATAATTATATATTCAATTAAATGAAGTATCAAGAAAAATTAATCCACATAATCTGGTTTTTATTATTTTTCTTGTCTCGCTTGTATTATTTTATATGACGTAAATTAAAAAAAAAAGTCTAAAATAAATATCATGGTAGTTTAACTATATTTGTATATTTGAGGCTTGTAGAAAATATTTAGAACTCTATGATAATTCTTACGCTTTGTGAGTTACTTATTTTTCGACAGACCCGTCGAAAAGGTCAATCTCAGATAGAGTTTTCATTATAGTAGGTTAACTTTATTTATGATAAAAAAAACTACGATGGTTTTTGACATATGTAGAACAATATTCTACTTGCAAGTGGACCAATTATTTATTTTTATTTTTACGAGTTTGAAAACCTGGAATTAAAAATGTATGCACTACAATGCTTGCTATTTGTCGAAGTAAAAATTAATTTCAAAAGACATTGGACAAAATTATATTAATTTATCTGGATTACGTAATTGAAGCTTTTTAAATGAAATATGGACGATACTTACTTTGTAAAGAAAAATAAATCTTGTAAACATGATAATAAATGTTTAAATATTACACGATTAATCTGGCAACATAATGATCATGTTATTTTTGGCGGGGCCTTTCAAATGTCAATTTACGCTAAGTACTAAACAGATAGTAGATTGTAGAATGTTCTAGAAATTTTTAGGTTAGCTTTCATATCAAAATTGTTACTAACATTCAGTTTTGAGTTCTTTTATAAGCAAAATAACAGAATATTGGAGTAAAACCTGTTCCTCCTGTCATTTTTATTATAACACGTTACTACATATGTAAATGTACTAAATGAAACATTTAAAACCATATTTTAGCTTTGTACGGTTTTAGTAAAATTTTCTATGCATTTAATATCTGACTACACTTTAACAAAAACTATTTTTAGATAATGTACTGTATATACTAACCACGTTTTGTATTAAATGTTTAGTTATTACGTAGGAAAAAACACAGTATTTAAAAATAAGAATATAAGAAATAATAGAAATTAAAATTATCAGTCATGATACTCTTTAAAGACGGCCATCTTGAAATTGTCAAAGAATAGTTATTCAAATAGCGTTTCCGGTAAATATTATCTATGGTATAAAATTACAAGAAATTGCAGAAAATTGTAACCATTCTTATATAAAATCTGGAAATACGAATCCTATAACTAACCATATAAATAGGTACTAACACTACTACGACGTTTTGTATTAAATAGTAATTTGTATATTTGCTATTTACTGTGTATATAAAGTGTTTATTGTTCTTTCAATAAATTCTGTGTAATTGTGTTTTAAATAAATAATGTAATTAATATTCTGCATTTTATTTTAATTGTAGTGATAAAGAGGGTTATAGGAAATTAAAATTCCAGCGTAGATAAAATAATTTAATTTAAAACAAAAATATACTAATGTTTTATCTGTACCACAGATCAAGAAATAACAGACTAGATTTAATCTTAACTACATTGAGACGATACAATATCTGAGCCGGAGACAAGAAAAAGTACCTTTTAAAAAAATTATAACAACCGACATCAGGAGATAATGACTAATTTAGTATCTTTGATTTTTTTAACTTCAAATTACTAAACCCCTTATGGGTAAATTAAATTTTACTGAGAAGAGGCAAAATATACTACAATCTCTATGGCATTAAGATTTACATATTAAATTAAACACATAAAAACGTAAAAGTATTTATACACGTCTGGTTAAAGAAAGTTTTGTCACTTAGAGAAGCACAGCGTTCACACACGTAGCTATAGTTCTATAGGTCCGAAGAGATGCTTCGCCGGACAGTCCTCGCTTTGATCTCCTAGGAATTGGGCAAATAATTCCTGATACCGCGATAGAGTAATGCCTCCTCTTCTTCGGTCGTCGTCCTGAAACAAAATTTACCTACATCTACAGTACACAACAATCATTAGTTAGCTACGAGTAATAATTGAAGTGGTCATGATATTAAGAAGTAGTGTAATTTAATTTTTAATCTAAGAATCAATGCATTCATGATATATGTATGTGAAACAAAGCATTATCTATGGCAATATTATGATATGTTGGATGTGAAAATAGAACGGGCCTGTTCCCCGGCACACGCTACCAGCGTAAATTGACCCGTGTATCAGTTGGCCGGTCGCCAAGGGAAAGCTCTTCTTATAACAAGATCATTCATCTTGTTGCATAATTCTATTTCGACTACGTTATTCGTGGTGATGAGAAAAAACTTTATATCTTCGCTATTTCTGAAAATTCTTAATTTAAAACATAGTAATCTTTAAAATGCACGAAGAATTGTTTTATTTAAAATAATAATTTATTAATAAGCAACAAAATAAGAAATGTCCTGCGAACAGAATTTTGGCATCTAAAACAAATCGAATTGGTTTAGTAACAATTTATTAATAGCCAAGACTTGTCTAGACGTAATATTTACTGGCTCGGATTGCTTTAATTGAATCCGATCATTAAACGGTCTAATAACCGTGACATAAATCTACGTGACATTTTGCCAAAATTCATCAACAAAATTGCAGAAACTACACGCTTATTTACATTTTGGTTCAAGAGGAATTTCTTACTGTAAGAATCATTCCTAAGTAAAGAAAATGTATCTTTATTTATTCAACTACCCACTTTTAGAATTAAAAGAACGATCGTGTTTTTCTCGAAATATAAATCCGTGCAAATTCGAGGTTAATGTTTCAAACAAATTAAATTAGTTTCTGCAATGTTTTCAAAGGAATTGATAAATGATTTTGTATATAACGGACCAAGGACAAATTTCGGACTACCTTCTAAAATAAGTAAACGTAGGTGAACTTAATAATTGGTTAAATAATAACTTACATTTAATAAGGAATAGAACGCCTCATCAATAATTTTGATATCCTCAAGTACCATCCTCTGCACACAGTCGTATCTGTACTCTTCTAAAGCCAGAACACCGTCACTGTTCAAGTCTATCATTCTGAAATTTGACTCTATAAATGCCCTCATAGCCTGTGGAAAATCTTCATACTTTCTGCCGACACAGCAGTTCATAACAGCCTGTTTGAACTCGTCCACTGTTATTATACCATCCTAGAAAAAATAAACTATCAAACAAAGATGGCGGACATGATAAGATTACAAGCAAAAGCGTGCGCGTTGCTGCAGCGTGGCTTTAAAGCGCTACAACTAAAAGCAACAATTTTAAGTTTGTATAATAAAAATAATGCATGCAGCAATTTTTCTTCAATCAATATAACATATTATTTATTGGAGAGTGTATTGACTTGTGGGTATTTTGTGCTAGTGTGTGTTATGTATTCTGTCAATAATGTAATGTAATACCCACCATCTGCATGCTTCTAGCGTACATCAACAATGCGTCTACGATCTACGAGTACATTCACGTTTGCAGGCCTAACTACGTTGAAAGGGATACAAGCTTGTTAATAATTTAATTAACTTAAAAAAAGCAAATACCCTAAATACTCAAGACTCGAATTTTTCTCGCGTACCCTACAAATATTTATGTTATCCCAAGAAGAGAGTGCCAACTTTAGGTATCAGCCTTAATTTCTATCAAGAGTAAAATACTTAAGGCTATAACTAAATAATAGTTCTTAACGTTCAGTCTTTGGATATATCTTTAAAAAACCTTGTATCCCTTTGCATGCGTTGCGTTGCGTACACTGCGGTAGAGTATGTGGAATGTGATAACCGACATAGTCTGGCACCTTGTCGAAGTCCGCGAGCTGAGCGATTTCCTCCCAGAGGCTTAGCATGATGTGCCTGTAGCGCTGCAGCCGTGACCCACTGCACTCTCCGCGCCCCTCCAGGACGCAGGACCGCAGTGCAAGGCAGTGAAAGTCGTGTGCGTCTAAGTAACCATTGCAATCGATATCTGGAATATCAAGAAGGTTCAAGTTGCTATAGTAAAAGGTGGCAGACGAGCACTCAACCACCTGGTAACATTATTTTTTTGTTTTTATCCCGTCTATTAACATTCATTAACAAACCCAAGCACGACAATCGTCTTGGGAAAGATTTAATGGTTAAGTGACATTTATTTTGTTTGCATAATCTATGACAAAAAAACAAAATTGGTGCGCAATCTGAGTTGTATAGAACCTTGTCAAAGTACAGTATTGAGCGTCAGTAAATTTTGGTAAAGTTGACAAAACAAAAGGGGATTTTATAAACTTTATTTCTCATTAATTGGTTGATATACCAAAAGTAGAGGCATACTGGCTATATCGGTAAAAGTCAATACTAGTCGGCAGCACAGGTCAAGTCCACTATATCTGGCATGTTGTCAGTAACGGCATTGCAACCTCAACGTGATTTAGTGTGTCGCAACGCGCTTCAACTTGGCCGCCGAGCGTGAACAATACACATTGATAGCTTATTATGATCTATGCCAAAATGTAAAATGTAAAATGTAACCATAGATATATGAATGTGGAATTATGCCTGTTTCGCACTTAGCCAGTACAGTCGAACAGTTGCCATGAATAGTGAAAGATTTTATGGACTCATTATCACCAGTTAGCGCTCACACTGTGGCAGTTGATTGCCAGTCCAGTTATTGAGCGCTACTGACTAACTGTACTGGCCAAGTGTGAACCGCGCAAAAGCGATAGTGGTGAACCACGACAGTGCCGAAGTCCGTTATTTTTGCGTTTGAAAATTCTTAACTTGAAGTCTAGATTAGTGATCAATAGATTAAAATTTTACAACCCAAATAAATGACGCTACTATTAATTGCGTAACATTTTATATACATAAAACAATTTTAAAGTTTAAATACATTTAACATGCTTCGGCATCGGGAAATAAGTAGTTAGGGTGGAATTTTGTTAGAAATACATAAATTCATCCCACGTTCATTCAAACACGTGTGTTTATATGATCAGTGGAAACTGTTTAATATATTTAGATTTGATGTGAGTTGGGATAATAACTAAAATGCAGATAAAATGACAGCTATGTGAATACTGCAACGCTGACGCAATGGACAGACGCATCATTCTAAAATATATTTCGAGAGGTTCATTTAACATCTGTACGTTTTATTGCAGTCAAATTATTTGCTTCTTTATACCCTTTGAAGTCGTGATAAAAAAGATAAAATACTGTACATTTTAAACTGTGTTTCGAACTCAGAATGATGCCAAATCAAATAAATTCAATATTGGAGGTGATTGTACCGCCTTGTACAAGGACGTATAACATCGTTTCGGAAAACACCACACAAACATTTAGAAGTACCAGCAGTGAACCCCTAAAGGTCCTTGAAAAGGCTTACAAACTTTACGCAAATACACCATGTAATAACAACCATAGATAGAAGAAAATACAGACGCGACTTAGTGGTTGTACCTCTAAATCGAAATTGAAGATTTAATTTATAGTAAAGTAAACAATGGACAGGTTTAGTTACAATTTTACGTTTTTAATGTAGTCTTTATTTAAAATTCAAAATATTTGATCAAAAGATTGTTTAAATTCAAATTGTTTTCACACTTTTAAATAAAAAATACAGGTAACGGTACTCACCATATAAATATCTGACAACAAAGGCAACGCGGTTATCCCACGAAGAAGCCATTCCGATTAAATTAACACCAAAACTTTTGTTGCAATAATTATTTAAAACAGGGACCAGTTAGCTGATCGGCGAGTCGCGCCGATGTTTGCGCGGCAACTGCTCGATATAGAGGGGGAGCAATATCGACATTTTAAACTTTAAAAATATCGATAAAACGTAAGATATTAAACTTTGGAAATGAGTTTGTTTCAAGTAGCTTGTCTGATGGTATTAGTAAGTTAAGATAGACAATGATACAAATCACTATTATCTACTGGATTGGGACAGTAATTAATGAATCTTTGTATCAATTTTTAGTACTTAATATCAACTGTAGATGTTCATCGGTTGATGGTCATAGATTCTTACAAAAGACTGGTACTGTATTTGGTTTTTACCAGTCTTTATTGCATGTAATTGTCAGTTAACAAGCCTTTCTTTGATTAGTTACATTATAATACATCGACATTCAACGTTTTTTTAAATTGCTGTTTTTTATAATACCTTTATCGATATTTTTATGCGATGTAATAGTCCATCACTAGATCGCCCGCGCATCTTTGCCACTGCCACGAAATAAGACAATGCGGCGAGGTAAGGCGCATTTGCGATCATGTAGCCGTAATCTGACGACACCGTGGTTAAATATATCTGCTGTACGCGTCGATCGATTTAGTTGTTTTTTCTATAGGTAAATTTATTCCGTGGGATAACCGTAAATTAATGCATCTTAAAATTGTCTCAAATTATGAATATCGTCGTCAATTGTTTTTGGACATGACGTCGTTATGTAAAAATTATACTTTAACCATTTTTGTTTTACCGAATATGTGAGGAGATTATGATTTGGAGAACATGTTCAGTTATTTATTAATTGTAGGGGATGCGAAACTGTGCAATTTTTGTGCGATTAGTAGTTTAACAATTAAATTAAAGGACAGTTCTGACAGTGAATATAGTGAAATTGAAAAGATACCTGATTATACAAAACCCATCATGAGGAAAAAAGACTTTTTACCTCTATGGTACTAAACGGGAACGGTGCGGTGTTGGTAACTTAAAATCTATCTGGCTAAAAACGATAAGAATCCAGAGCCGTAAAAATTGATTTTGGTTCTTGACGTTGACAGTGACATCTGACAGTACAATTGCATTTCTGAATTTAAAAAATTGTAAATATTTTGTGAATATTAATTGTTATACATTAATTTTAAGCATAATACAATATGACTCGAAGAAATAGACTATTGTATACTATGATATTTGTATTCTGTACGTATTTCAACAACTTATGTTCTAAAATATTTATGTCTTTAAACTGTATTACAAAAGATTCGACTTGAAATATTATAATTATAATACGGCATTCATATATCTAAAATCTACTACAGTATGATCAAAGTCCATTCATATATTATATAGATTTCTATTGTATTGGAATACCTTTTTTTGCAATGTTTACCTTCAAAGTGGTAGTACATTTTACGTCAATTTTAAATGAATAAAAAAATTGGTAGATTTCCTGACCTTTGAATAATTTTTGATGCTTAAATCTGTTCATATGGAAAGTTTTATCTATTTATATCTGGTTTATTTTGTAATTAAGTTATTAACATAGTTTTATTCATTTATTATTATTTTACTTCAAGGTTTGCCAATATTAACCAGCCAGTTTGATGTTGAGGAAGAAGCAATTCTTGACAAAGTCGAGAACGAAGAAGAACCGGATGTCCCTAATGTTGATGAATCGGAATCTTTACTTTCAAATGTTGTATCTGATGTCAACAAAACATTAACAAACCTCTACAACCATGTAACATCAGCTAACATTACTGCGGAAAACCGAACAAGTACAGCAAACGAGACTAGAAAACTCGTTAAATGTAAAGAGATTTTATATGAAGGGACAGAAGAAATAGAGGTGGAAATTATCAACGGAACTCATTTAGCTAAGCTATTGCAAGTAAAGCCAGATATAACTAGCCGAGATACTGAGGCCGATTGTGTTTTAGTGTTATTCCATGCAAGAGCTTGTCCCTTTAGTGCCCATGCTGCCCCTCACTTCAATGCACTAGCCAGATCGTACCCTAATATAAAAATGGTGGCATTAGATGCATTAAAATACCATGGGATTAATGCTCAATATGGTATAGTTGGTGTTCCAACTCTCAAAATGTTCCATAACGGTAGACCGGTTGGAAAATTCAATGGTACAGAGTACAATATTCAGTCTTTCAGTAAATTTGTGCATGCTATCACAGGGCAATATCCTTTAGAACTCTTAGTGACATCAAAAGACTTCCAAGGACCAGTTTCTAGTGTTGTAGAGAAGGAGACTGACTATTTCTTGGTGTTGTCTTGGTTGTTCATAATAGTGTGTTCAATTTATTACTTTATGCAGTCAAAATGGTGGAAGATGATAGTCGAGATGGTGCAAAACAACTGGAGAGAATCTGAGGCTCAGCATGAGCACAATGATTAGTATTACAGACTGATAGAGTATTTTAAGATAAGAATAAAGGTAAAATAAATTATGATTCACCAATGTGTTGTTAATTTCACCATACATATAATACTAACTTTCCGACGTGACTCGCGCGCGGGTTTTAAAAAAACAATCTTAGTAAGTTGCCGATGAGTTCTTTCAGAATCAATTTGTTCTACATCTGTGCCAAATTTAATCAAGTTTTTTTTTTTTTTTTTGTTGT